GGGGTTGTCTTGGCGGTGTCTCTCGACATCGCCAACGCCTTCAACTCCATGCCCTGGAGCTGCATTAGGGAGGCATTCCGGTATCACCGGGTGCCGACCTATCTCCGTCGTATAGTCGGGGTCTATCTGACGGACAGAGCCGTCATCTGCCCCGGTCGCAACGGTGAGTGGAACCGGCGAGAGGTGTCGTGCGGTGTCCCACAGGGTTCGGTTCTGGGGCCACCTCTGTGGAACATCGGTTACGACTGGGTGCTGCGCGCCGACCTCCCTACCGGCGTCAGCGTAGTTTGCTACGCTGACAACACGCTGGTACTGGCACAAGGGGGGTCGTACGAGGCGGCGGCGGAAACATATATGACACGCGGGGTTGCGATAGTCGTTGAGTTCTTTCGGGTGCATCGTCCTCGGAACAGGCCACCACCGGGATCCTCAGTGATGGTAGGAGGGGTATCCATCGGCGTCGAGTCGACGCTGAAGTACCTAGGACTCGTCCTCGACGGCCGATGGAACTTCGTTGAGCACTTCCGACGTTTGGCTCCCAAACTGGAACGGACCGGGGCTGCCTTCAGGCGGCTCCTGCCGAACCTGGGGGGGCCAAACGCCTCCTGCCGGAGGCTCCACGCGGGGATCGTGCGGTCCATGGCCCTTTACGGGGCCCCGGTGTGGGCGCGTGGTTTGGCGCGGCTTGCCGTCCACCACCTGAACGCGCCCCAAAGGGCAGTTGCCGGGAAAATGGTTCACGGCTACCGCACGATCTCCCGCGAGGCGGCGAGCCTCCTTGCCGGATTGCCGCCATGGGATCTGGAGGCGATAGTCCTCGCGTGCCTGCACGAATGGCGCGCGGAGGCACTATGCCCGGGAGAAACCCCGCTGCCGCGGCAAGTTGTCGCGCAGCGGACAGACTTCCGGCACGATCTCATGGCGACATGGAGAGAGCGATTGTCGCAACCCCGTGCTGAGCACGCCACTATAGCGGCGATAAGACTCCTCTTTGAGGAGTGGCTTGAGAGACGCCACGGCATCCTCACCTTCCGCCTGACGCAGGTCCTCACCGGACACGGTGTGTTCGGGAGGTTCCTGCACCGAATCGGGCGGGAGGAAACGCCCGGGTGCTCCCACTGCGAGGATGGACCGGAGGACACGGTGGAACACACCGTGGAGGTGTGCCCTGCTTGGGCGGAGCACCGCCGTGTCCTCGTAGCGGCGATAGGCGGCGGCGACCTCTCGCGTCCGGCCCTGGTCGAAGCCATGGTCCGGAGTGAGACGGAATAGGATGCCGTCACCACCTTCTGCGAAGCAGTGATGCTAGCGAAGGAGGTGGCGGAGCGGGAGAAGGAGAGATCAGCAGCTTTCCTCCCCGGCCGCCGCGGGAGACGCCCCGGGCGTCGGGGGCTACGTCGTGGCCCCCGGCCACCGTAGGCGCGGGCCTGTGGACGGCGAGCAATGGGTAGCTCGCCGTCCGTCCGTCTAACGACGACAGGCCGTGTCGACGGCGCGTTTTGTTCCACGCGCGCCTCAAAGAGCTGTCAGCAGCGTGAAGGGGCCCGCAAGGGCCGACGCCTGCCGGGGCTGCGGGCTATTCGAAAGAGATACCGCGGCTCAAGAGATACCGCGGCTCCGGAACGTAAGGGCACTGAAGGAACACGGATGGTTTTTAGTCAGTAAAAGTCTGACACACCCTTACGCTCCACCCAGAGCGAAAGGCGTCATTAGATGATTTTCCATACGCAAAAAAAAAGGATAGAGAATTTTGTATAGATTATATAATGCCAAACTTCTTTGTAAAAAAGTAGTCTCTAAATATAAGTTTTAATGGTTTAAAGTGCTGTGGGTGAGTGCGGTCGCATGCGACCGCTCGGGATTTGACGGACGCATGCGACTGCATGGGAATTTTACGGGGATTGAAGGGTTAAATTAGGTTAAAGGGTGCCACATATCTACCCAAACAAACTCCTACTAGTACTATTATTTATTTTGTGTACCTACGAAGAAAAGAATTTCTACCTCCTAGTAAACATTTTCGAACTTGCCAACAGATTCATGAATAAATAATGTCAGCGCTTTAAATAACTAAGTTAAAGTATATATAATCACCATCACCATTAGTGCTCTTCTCAAGTCCACTTCTGAAAATAGGCCTCGCTCAAGGAATGCCACAAAGCACGGTCCGAAGCCACCTGCATCCATTGACTTCCTGCATGTCTTACCAGGTCGTCACTTTATCTATTGGGAGGCCGCCCCACACTTTACTTACCAATACGAATGTTAATATAGTAGGTACATTTGTTAAATATAGTACATTTGCAAGGAATATAAAATCCAACAAACTTTAAGCCGATCTTTTGAAGAGATACGAAAATCGTACATATTCATCCGAAAAAGTAGCATAAGTCACGTGCCCGAACACGTCAATCATGTCTTATCTTTAAAATACGGCCTGCGACTTTGTGATGTAATATTTACCTTTAACACATGCAAGTTAGCAAGCAAGCTAGCTAGGTATTGTGTGAAAATTGTATTCTTTTTATAGCCAATTGCCGGATTTCTCTTTTAAAGCCATTATTCTAAGATTGTATATGGCATGCCATGCATGGTAGAGATTAAAATTTATGGCGCGTAAATTGAATAAAACATGGCGGTCGAGTTTCAGTGGTCACATGTAGTGAACTGTAAACTATTACCGTTATGGAACATTGTTTACATAATAACGGCTCCTGTCCTCGTTGTACAATTTTCGTACAAAATAACACTCGATAACGGGTCATTTATGTTGCTCATTATTGCAGTATGTAGGTCGCACAGTTCGCACAATTTAAATGAACGAGTCACGTTGTGATTCCTATGCGAAAGAAGCCGATTTGGATGCAATTTGTTACGCTCAGTAGCTGTTGTTAGTTGTTTTAAAATCATTACTGTTAAGGTTACATTTTTTTTATCATCGAATAAAATATTGTAGAAAAAGTGAACCGTCCTTGCAGGCTTTTCACACAAACCATATAGACTATAAATTGTCACAACTAAATCACTTGAATAGCCTATTCAAGTTCTACGTTGTAAAACTGGACATTTATCAGCCTTGCCTTAGTCTTAGTTAAGTTACACAAGAAAACGGAAATTAATTATATTCGCAAAGTAAATTACAGTGCAGAACTTGTCTTTCAATTTTCTCTGGAGAAAGTAGTCGTTTGGGAACTCGGCTTACCAATAAATTTGAATATGTTAAAGTATAATTAATCTGAAATGTATTTAAAACACTCCGATACTGTTTAAACTATCTAAAATAAATAATGAAACAAGTCCCATATCTCTATCGATTTCTTTGTTTGTGTTCCAGATATGCGAGGCGAAAATTAACCAAGAACTTACATACGCAAACGCGCGCACACGCACAAACACCCACACACATCCTCCTAGAAATTAAATTATACAACTCTAGTGACCTTGAAACCAGTGGGGTAGCTAGGTAACCAAGGGCCCCGGGGCAAATCAAAAAATGGGCCCCACCTCTATCTAAACTGGTTAGGTTTTATTAAGAAAAATATTAAATTTACAAATACTTTAAAAATGCTAAGGTACTTTATCATCAGCTCTTTTTGTGCACTGCAGTGCAGGTAATAAAACTATTAAACAGTAACAACATAAATTACAGTTAATGCACCTGGGCAATAAAACGAAATAGAAAAGATTCAAGGGTTTATTATATAAAGGTCGGACCTACAAACTAGCTAAATAACAATTATATCAACAATCTTTTCCTGGCTTAAGTTTTCGCAAAAGTATCAATCACTTCGGTTAATCGGTTCGGTTTTGTTTTCAATTGCTATTAGCGATAAATGTTGGAGTCGAGTTTGGCCCATACTATTTCTTAAATAATTTATTATTTTTAATTTTCTAAATGACCATTCAGCTGCTGCAGAAGTGACAGGAATCGTAAAGAATAATAACAAAGCTGTAAATACTTTCGTTAGGTCGCATTCCAGGTTCTAGCACTCCATATTTGCTCACTATTTCCTTACATAACTGGTGAACAGTCCATGCTTGAGTTAATTGAGGTAAAACTAGGTGGTAAATATTAATAAATTGAAGTGAAAAGCTAGGACCTATTATATCTGAATATTTTCTTTGTCGTCACACTTTTGTAATAAAGTTGCTTCATCAAAATGTAATAAAAATTTTGGTGTTAGAAAATCGAATATTTGACTGACTCACACACACACCAGTAAAACGTGTATTTAATTGAGCTATTATTGTGTCTAGTACATTATCGAAAATCTCAATTTTAAATAGTTCTTCTTTGTTTGGAAATCTTGATGAAATGGTGATAAGCAGCTAATTCATCAAAATGTTTTTTAACTTTCCTTTACGTTTTATCTTGAAAATGGGTATCTATACCATATTTTCTTGCAGTTTCACTACTTGCTCTGCACTTGAATAATTCAAAATCATTTCTAGAAATTTGCAACTTTGCTTTGGTCTCTTCTAAAGCTTTATTTGCCTCGCCCAAATTGATGTCGCATTTTTGTAAAGTTTTGAATGCATAATTGATGTCATTCAATACACTTCATGAATGAATTCGCAAAGCAACACGAACTCGAAAATAAGCATTTTTTAAATAATCTCTGCTTCACTACGCTCATCTTTATTAGAATTCTTTACAACTATTTCTGATAATGCTTTGATAATATCAAAAAAACGAAATTTCATTACAGATACCCAGATACCGTATTGACCCTACTAGACCATCTAGTCTGATTTAGTTTTTTTTTTTTGGACTGGTGTCCGTTTCGCCAGTGAGTTTTGACAGTAGATCCCAACGTTTAATACTGTTTCCGAAAAAGTTACACAAATATTGCAACGTTGCGAAAAAAAATGTATTTCCATACAATTGCTAACGGCATCATTTATCACCAAATTAAAATTATGAGTGGCACAATGTACGTATTCCGCGTTAGGCTGGATATACTTAATATGTTTTTGTAAATCATTATACACACCACTCATCACACTGGCTCCATCATAAACTTGCTGAATTGAATCTTCGAAGCTTCTTCAGTAGGTCTTCTCCACATTATTTGAGTCACTATCAATAGTAATATTTTGGCCAGAAGTACTTGCAGAAGGCTGACTAAAAACTTGTCAATTTTGGGCAATTTTTGTTTACTATCTTCTCTTTCTTGGCGTTGTTTGTGTTTAAATGCGCCACTGGGTTTCTTCTTCTTGTTCATAATTTAAGTTTTCTAATTTATTTATGCAATATTTATATTAGATTGTGCTCGAGTAGGTACTCACTGTTCACTGACAACGTTAAAAGTAAAAGAAAGGAGAAACGTATGTATGATACACTACAAGACGTTGTTGGAGAATTCCCGGCGAACATTTTATCGCCGTGTTACCACATTTAACGGTGGAGACCAAGAACGATCTCCTCGCCTGCGGGCCTGAATTAATTCACCTACAGCAGGTGACCTGCATAATTTTTACGATATTTCATGTTATGCAATGAGTAGCTGAAATCTATAGATTTGATGTAATTTATTGACGTAACGAACATCAATATGAGTGATACTAAAATCATACAAAATTGAACCACTATATTGACCAGTACAAAAAAGTTTATTGACATTAGCTTACTTACTCTTGATACAGCATTAATTTTTAACTGTTCTCGAAAAAAAAATCGTGTCTCGAATTCACAATAAAACGCACATCGATGAATAAAAAACGCACATATCGCTATCCGTCGAATTGACAACACTGCCAACCCACAGAAAGAATTTAGGGGAATTCTCTAGCTTTGAATTTCGAATTTCTCTCAACTGAATTTCCATGATTAAAGTCGGGTTGCAACCTGTCATATTTATTTTGGAAATGGGAGAAATTTTCATAAGTTCAGTTCGATCGAGATTTTCTGGTAAGGATTCGAGGGCCCCCTGAGCTTGAGGGGCTGCTGCCCCGCCTAGCCCCTAGGTACGCCAGCGTAGCTACGCCACTGCTTGAAACATGGAGATATGTCTAAATTTTATCTAAAAATAACTTTACTTTAGAAAAAGCGACCATAAAAAATTTAAATAAATTTTTATTTGCAAATTGTAGGAGTATCTGGTTTTATTGTCTCCTGACACGTGCATTGGTAAAGGAGGGTCTTTGACAATACTCTTACTCACCGGCCAAGGCAGAAGTAATAAAATCACACAATTTTCTAATAAAATTCATTTCAATTTAATTTAATGATTGAGTTTTCTAAAATAAAGTTATATCTATACGTTAGAATTCTGTTTCTGATAACGAACCTAATGGGAACCACAGGGTTTTTGTTACATGCTGAGTTGATTTATATATATGTGCGTATTTATGTATTTCAACGCTTGATGGGTAAAATAAACGTTTACCCATCAGGCGTTTAAATACATGGTAAGACCTTTACCCCTTTATCCATCTAACTTCATTGAAATGGGCTTAATATTAATTAAAAAGTGTATTGTGATTGCTACCGAAATGAAAACGAAATGCTAAAAGAATATTAAAATTGAATTACCATCGCACGTGTTTTTGACGTAAGCACGTAGGTCGTCGTACGTAAGAGTATTTACAATTACAGCGTACCCAATGCATATTATTTTATATAACGTTTATGTTTTTTTTTTCAGTTAACTCCACATGTCGATATGTTACGTGACTGCACGTGTTGCTGAGGCTGTTTCTTGATTAGCGTTTCAATGGATATTTTGATTAGACTTTTGTTATTCCGTATCATATGTGTATATATATATATATATATTATACGACTACCTCGTTGGTCTAGTGGTTGTAGTAGTGCGACTGCTGATCATGAGGTCCTGGGTTCGAATCCCGGGTCGTGCCAAAAAATCAATTATTGAGTTTTTCTGTCAAGAAATTCTCAGTAGCTGCCCGGAGTCAGGAAGTTGGCGGTGTCTCATCCCCCCGTGCCTCGAAAAGCATGTAAAGCCGTTGGTCCTGCGCCTGATCTCTCTCCGGTCGTGTCGGTTTACCGTCCCATTGGATTATGAGGGTGAGGGAATAGAGAGTGCACTTGTGCTTGCGCATACACTTGGGCACTATAGTCCTGTCCTGCACCTATGGCTAACCTCTGTTGAGGCAGGCCGCCGTGGCCGAAATTCGGTCTGGAGGACATTATTATTATATACGTATTCTTAACTTACCTTTGTCTTTAACTTTTGACTAATAGACTTAAATAAAATTGATATGGCCTTTTCAACTACTATTTCTAGATTACTACAGGTGCTACACGGTTCCAACTAGTTAGTAAAATCTGAGTTTTTTTAGGTTTTAACCGTTCCTCTGGTTAGACAAAGTAAATTACAAAAAACCAGCCTTAGTAAAAAAGAATATAGCGAATGAAATACATACTTTCATTGATATTACACGATTTACATTTACTCTCTTACTCCATATTGACCAGTTGGTATCGTAAGAGGCGTCGGAAGCAAACTGATTAAAACTTCTTTTACGGATTTTATCGCGTTTGTTTATTTTATTTTTAATACCCGACGTTTCGGGCACTTTCCAGCACCCATGGTCACGAGGGACTGATGTGACTGACGTCCCGATGTCGGTGTTAACCCGGAGTACCTTCAGCTTTTTTATTTATGCTCCGATCTACGTAGAATGTGTCTTACTGTGTCTTGAAGTCATGCAGTGGTATGCTTGGGTTTAGTTTTAATTTTATTAATTGCAGGGTCACAAGCAGGTGGTAGTACCCAGCCTCCTTCCCTGTTGAAATTAGGATGTATTTTAATTTCAATAGCCTCACGTACTCATCTTCCTTGGTAGGAATCGATGTTCTTTTGCGAATCTGATGCAATGGCCTAGGGTCGTCTAGGACATGATCACATATCCTAGACCTAGATAAAATGAATTAAACGCGATAAAATTCGTAAAAGTAGTTTTAATCAATGTGTAGTGTTCGCGTAAGCATAAGAATACATTATGGATACTGATTCAGATGAGCAGTAGCATCTTCCTGATAACGAACCCAAAACAGTAAGAAAACTGCAGTTGCAAACCCGCCTGCCAAGCGTGGCAACTATGGCAAAATTATTTGGCATTATAATGGGAGAACTATGTTCGGGACTTTTAAAGGTTGTAATTGGTGAATAGATCGAATAAAATAGGCTGTACTTAGGCTGATAATGTATGGAATCGTGGTCAGTCGAATTGATTGCTGCCCACCCACTACACTGTATACTTCGTAGAACTTGATTATAGAACTCAAGTCTTGGTATAGATCGTCTAAGCTGAAATGACGCGCCCCACTATCGCATTAACGCACACAAGCAAATTTAAAATATGGACGCAATACATATACAAATGCCATTGTAATTGGTCATTCGGTTGTCGGTGAGACTCAAGCGTAGGAGCACGCGTCGTTCGATTGTAAAAGTACCGTCAGCATGTCGACCAAAAAACATTTACGGAGTCAAGTAAGTAAAATAATACGTTATTGCTTAAAATCTTATTTAATCATACATCGTTTTTATGGTGGTTTACATGCATACATTTTACAGGCAAAAGAAATTACTGCGAAAGTGTACCGCAGAATGAAATATGAAGCGGAAAATGGAGTGGAAAAACTATCTGACGCTAGATGGCGAACTGCTCAAGCCGTTGGTGTTAGTGAATCTACGATTACACGAATTTTGAAAGAAGAGAAGCAAGCTAGTACATCAAATGATACGTCACAAAAAATTTTTAGATCGCCCTCAAAACCAAAAAAGGAAGCGGACCAAGTCTAACCTGGATGATTTTGATATGGGTATACTTCGCAGAACGATAGCGACATTTCATACAGAATTTAATGAATTACCAACGTTAAGAAAGCTGAAACAAGTATTAACAGAAAGAATTGGTTTTAACGGTTGTATAGAAACTCTGCGTATCATTTTGAAGGAATCGGGCTACGAGTGGTCTAAAATAGATGACAACCGTAAAGCTTTAGTAGAAAAGCATGATATCCAAATGTTACGCTTTCAATATTCGAGGCAATTAAAAAAATATCGTGACGAGGGCCGCTATATCGTATACACAGATGAAAGTTATGTTCATACAACACATCTGCAAAACATGTGCTGGAAACCAGTCAAAGGAGTATCAGCAGTGCAAAAAAAGTTGTCGAAAGGTACTCGGGTCATAATTGTTCACGCTGGTGGATGTGAAGGATTTGTTCCAAATACTAGTTTGGTGTATAAAGCAAACTACACAAGTGGAGATTATCACGACAACATGAATCTGGATAATTATAAGAAATGGCTCACCACACAATTACTGCCCAATCTCCCGGTAAAGGCTGTCATCGTTGTGGATAACGCTTCTTACCACAATGCTTTATTAGAAAAAGCTCCCAACTCCAACTCAAATAAGCAAGTCATGCAAACGTGGCTTGCAGAAAAAAATATTCAGTTTGACGAATCAATGAAAAAAATTGAACTGTACGATCTTATTTTAAAAAATAAGGACAGATTCAAGAGGTTCGTTATTGACGAACTGATTCAATCAAAAGGGTTTGAAATTCTACGACTACCACCTTATCACCCGGAACTAAATCCAATTGAAAATATATGGGGGATATTAAAAAACTACGTGGCTAATAAAAATGTTTCACAAAATTTTACATCCATTATGTCACTTATAAGTGAACGACTCGAAATGATTGATAGTACTATGTGGGCAAATGCATGTCGGCATGTTGAAGACACAGAAAAACAGTATTTGCAATATTTTGACATGGACTTTGAATTTATTATTTCTGTTAATGACTCTGATTCAGATGAAAGTGAATCTATGGAGATGAGTGAATAGTGATACTTTACATAATTTACATGCATATTATTATAGTAATTATACTAATTTGTAAAATAAATATTTCGAAAGAATATCAATCTGGTTTAATTAATCTACATAATTACAAAATAAAAACAATATATTTTGAACCATTAATTAACAAATAGAAGAAATACCATCATAATTAAATAATTTAACTTCAATTTCTTTGTAGACCGTATTTGCTAAGAAGCGGATTTTCTTGGATTTTTTTGTCCAACTTGTCATAATTGCCTGAAGGTGGCAGAGAGCGGACGTTTTGTTTCATACAATGCCCCAACGCTGCTCCCTAAGGAGAGCGTTGTCGGATTTATCACGCGACTAGTCGACCGTCACGTAGGCATACTGTACCATATGGAGATACACAAGTGGGCCGTATAATTTACACGTAGATATCGTACGTACATATCAGTAATAAGGCACGTGGGGGTAATATGGACACTTTATGTTTTGCCGCCTTATAAAACTAAAACTAGGAGAAGGGCAGAGGCAAAAAATAAAAAGGAACACTTCGAAAAATCTACTTAAAAAACTAACTACGCTACACCACACTAAAATCGACTAAAATGTTTACTATAATATCAACTGTCAAAATGACGTCGATAAAGCATCGCCCTTTATAATTAATTTGAAGTTATAAGAAAGTGGCCATATTCACTATGATGACTATATAACCCTCACGTACGTCCGAATTATTTCTTGTTTAAATAGGTCAAGTAGCAATTCACGCGGTCGGTAATTAAACTACTGCTTTTGCAAGGACTTCAGTTAGTAAACGTTATTCCATTGTATCAAAACATTTTCAAATTTACTAGCGTACTATATACCACCTGCCCCGTTTTCGACTGGGATCTATTCATCTATTTATAAGGTGCTGTTTAGATTTATAAACTCATTTTTTTTACAATTATAGCCTTTACTAAAATCAACCATAGGGACAAAAATATTCTGAACTTTCTTTTAAAACACCATAAATAAAATACGTGTGGCACTCGGTGACTGCCGCGGTAAAGCTATTGCATAGCATTTTTTATCAACTTATGCAATTATAATTATTTATTTATTTTATTTATGCAGTTAAGTCTTTGATATTAAATCAAGTTACACTTTTTGAGCGTGGTGACCGATAATAAAAGAATTTTTTTCTCTTATTGAATAAATGAGAAGTTAATATTGTTTAAAATATTTTTAATATATTACAATACATGTAGGTTATTCAGGAATTTTTATCATTGAGTTAGCAGCTAGTGTACACGCATACGTCTAGTCGCACGCACACAAACACCGTGCCGAAGTCCGCCGAGTGCCGAAGTCTGCCGAACTGAAACGACGTTAGACGATGCACGGCTTTCAACGCCACACCTCCGTGCCCGTCGGAGTGGGAGCGTGAGGTTTTTTTTTTCGTTACGGAATTTCTGGATTCGGTCCCCGCGCTCAAGGCCCGCGATAGAAGCTATGCAATAGATTAAAAAACTGTTAGTTTCGTTTTAAAATAATGTTACCAGCTTATAAACAGTCTATAAATTCCACAGCTAAACATAGGGCTCCCTCATAGATTGCCTCAAAGGGGGCGTTGTGCCATAGTTGCCACGCTTGGCAGACCGGTGGGCAGGTTTCTTTTACTTTGAGTTGTCATCAGGAAGGTGCGGCTGTCCACTTCCTGTTCCAGTCTGTCACCTCTTAAGACATTCACAGATTGGTATGTGGTAGCGGATATTCTTACACCCCCACTACATGGTGAATAATGTGGAATTTAACATAATGTGCGATATTAGACGCAAGTTTGATTCACTTCTTGCATCATAAAAAACATAGAAATTTGAGATACCTGAAGAAAAGTTGGGGGGGAAGGTTCTCCAGTGGCAGCCTCGTAACGATAGGCGAAGTGTAGGTCGACCCCCACTAGATGCAGTGAAGAGCTGGTAATACATGTAGGAATTCGATGGATGCAGGTGGTTCAGGACCGAGCTTAGTGGCATTCCTTGGGGGAGGCCTATGTTCAGCAGTGGACTTGTGAAGGGCTGTAATGATGATGATGACGAAGATAAGTTCACAATAGCGACTAAAATTTGGAGAAGCAATTCTAACGGAGTGACCGCTTTGAAATAAATTAAACCTGAACGATCCAAGATTCGTGATTAAAACTTTTTTTACATATGTATATAACATTATAAACTCAAAAATTTTATGACATTGTGTTACCTGATTCTCATTTGATTATACGTTCAGTATTTGAGTTAACTATAGAGACTTCAAAAATGAAAGTAAATTAAGGAAAAAATTGTGTTCTGAGGATGAACAATGCCTTCATAGACTTTGTAGAGCCCCGATTTCCAAAGTTCTACCGCAAAGGCATATTTATGGTATAAATTATCTTCTCTCAAGATGGCAGTAATTTGTTTTGCCGCCCTATTAAAAAAAGACTAGGAGAAGAAGAGAGACGAAAACACAAAGTCGTATACTATAACTAATATACTAAGAAAAAAATTGCAAACGAGCTTTAGCAATAATTAGGAAAACTTCGAAAAATCTAATTAAGAAAATTAACAACACTATACCATATTAAAATTGATAAATCGGTCATCCGATTAATATGGTCACTAACCAGATGACCATATTACCCTCACGTACTATAGATAATAACTATAAATGCTTCCACTAAATGTATATAACTTTTCTTAAAAGAAAACATGGTCAAATTTTTCTATGTAAAACGGAAAATTAATACTTTAATCTCTACAAAATGGCCAGCGTCAATCACAGTATAATAGGTTAGTTCTGAAACGTTTGTTTGTGCGTTACTTATCATGAGCAGTGAAACTAGGCTATTGTCTGTGTCGCAAGTTTATAAATAAACGCTTTTTATCAGTGACGCTGAAATCATGAAGGCTTCACGTGTCATAAATGTGACGGGAAGTCAACACAATACCAACGGATGTCAGAGTATCTCTTTAAGGCTTTACTACCAATTATACAACACGATTTATCGTGTTTTTTAAGATGTTTTTTTCTTGTTCTTGTTTTAGGCCAGTTACTTTTACCTTGACTGAGAACATGTTACTTTGAATTAAAAAAATACGTTATCTTTATTTTTAACAGGCACATATGAATTACATTAATTTGACAAATCCATAGGTTTTAATAGTCGTTGGTACGTCTGTTAGTGATCACGTAACATCTGAACGGCGACCATACAAGACGATAGTCCATAGCTATGCTAGGATCTGATGATTGGCGCTGTTATCCAGTAGGTAATTAGCAAATTCTATATTTACAGACCAAAATGGTTGGTGCCATAAAAAATTCTATTTTGAATGCGATAATTTCGTAGTCCGTATTATGAAATTTTATATTTTGTGAAGAAAAATTCGTAAAAATTTGTTCTATGTAATTTCATTGTCTTCATTTATTCGGTGAGCATAAATTTATAATTCTTTTCCGACTAGGAGTCTGGCTAGGAAGGTATTACCCTCTTATTTATCCTCTTAGCTATTTCTACCACCAAACAGCATATTATATGCACTCCTATGTTCCGATCTGATGAGTAAAGAGAACCAGTATAATTACAGCAAGCCTGTGAAGCGTACCATCCTAGTCCTTAGAGATGACAATGCATCTGTAGCCTTCTTGTTTGAAGTCTGTTGCAGGTGTCCATGAGCTGCAGTAACCATTCAACATCAGGTGTAATTTCGCAGTAATATAATACAACTCATTAAACAAAGTTTTACGCGACATGTAAAATTTTGTAAAATACTTTGTAGTGTTTTCTACATCCATAGCACAACACAAGTTACACAGACGCAGCAGCATTATGCTGCTATTTTACGCTCGTATTTCATGAGAGCGTGGTTCCCAGTCGAATAAGGTCTCTTTACCACTCTCTCTCCACCAGGTCTCTCTACCAAAAATTATATAAATGAATAACATTTTTTTCCTTTAAATTGAAAACTAGCACATGTGCACTGGTTTTTACAGCCTTCAAAAGCTTTTAGTGACCTTAGAGATTTGTTTACCATCATCAACATCAACAACCCGCGAAAGTCCACTGCTGGACGTGGGATTCTCCTAGTTTAGGATATGACGCCACACTTGACAGACGTAAACTTAAATATTATCCGGCCAACTATCGAACGTATGAAATTTTTGGTCGAACGTATGAAATTTTTGGTATTTTACAAAACGTATTTTACAATACCTACGGAAAGAAAAAGGCGACAATAGATAAAGTCACATTAAAGTAAATAGGATACTGTTGATAAATGCGTACAATAAAGTAAGTAATTAACACAACATTAAACAAACATCTTACCTTCTTAATTAATTTACACGACAATAACAAAAATAAATACCTACTTGTTTAATATTCGTTCTAGTTTTACTTGTGAGTATAGGTGCGGTTTTAATTGTATGGTAGTAACGTATTCCGTTATTAACTTTCTCCGTGAACGCCTGGTGAAAGTCAGTCCTACAGACATTGGGTCATCATAACTTTTGACAGGCTGGTGTCCTTTTTGGCGAAAATTACTGCGCAATATATTTTTTTATCTGGCAACTGGGTGACAAATGAAATGAGCACATAGCCCGCCTGATGGTAAGTGAATGCTATATCCCATTGATACCTACATGTACCGATTAAGAATCAAAATGCAGTTGCATTATCACCACTGTGTCCGGTATAGCTCTACCATGTCAAACACCTCTTTAACATCCTCCAAACTTTAACTGGTTTTTTGTGGCTGAGGATACAGGCATTGGCTAGACGTTACTCTCGACTTGTTTTGTAGTTTTATATTATAGCTTTTAACATAGACTTAGAATACATATATATTAGCGTACCTAAGTTTACGGTTTTTAATGAAAATACGTCAAAGAACGTTTCAAATTAGTTACACGATAACGCCGGCACGTGGTAACAGTTATTTTTTTACGATAGTTTTATCGCATCATGCGAAAGCTACTCATACGTCATCCAAGATACA